TCCTATTTGGTAGCGAGAAAAAGTAATATACTTTCGATGCTTTGACTTTCATAAAGTTAGTAAATGATTTTGCAGAATTGATCGAGAACAAGACACGAAAGTGCCCAACGCTGCAATTTTCACCATAAACAAAGAGGACCACACGCTGGGAAACATGATCAGAAAGTAAGTTTTTTCGGCGATTTCCGCAAATTCTGATCCCTTCCATGATTTCATGTTTCAGTCAGCTGCTAAAAGACCCCAGTGTTTTGTTTGCTGGTTATAAGCTGCCTCATCCATTGGAGCACAAGTTCGTGCTGCGGATTCAAACGACCTCCGATTACTCGCCCCAAGATGCGCTGATGCATGCCATCACTGATTTGATATCTGAATTGTCTCTATTTGAAGAGAGATTTAAGGCAAGTAATGGTTAGTGACAAAATTCGGCAATATCGGACATATTTCTTCTGCAGGAGGCAATAAAAGAAAAGAAGGAAGGCCTGGACTAGAGTATTTAAAGCAAATTTACCACACAACCTACTCTTTTTTTGGCGGGGAAGGGAAAGTATTTTGATAGGAAAATAATGTATTTGTACATACAAGTAACAATAAATTAATTTCAAACAACATTGTGGCCTATTAGACTACTGGTATCGAATAGCGGGAAAAAATTGATCTAAAACTCCTGATCGTCGGTACAATTGGCTGTATCGTGGCCAAATTCTGCAAATCGATCGATTAACGCTATGGGAATACAATTATTACGGCTGTACCTCCGCAGATGTCGCAGTACGCCCGAGGAGGTGGCTTTTCCGTTCGTTCCTTTCCTAATTGGAAGTTACCGATGGGCTCATCGGAAGCCTGAGCTGGACAATCTTCGGTCTCATGCTGATCGAACTGTTCGCATATGTCGCAATACATTCTGGGCGTCACTTGCTTCTCATACGTTGATCTAAATCCCATCCTGTAAGCAAGACTTCGTATTTCCCGTGTACTGTTGTCTATGAAATTAGAAAAATTATCGTCGTTTTGTGCAAGGGTGGCGTAAGATTATTGCAAATTTTGCATGTTTCTCGGAAGCAAAATGAGCAAGAACGCTCGTTTTTACATCATTCCAAAGATAACTAAATGGCCTTTTTAGAAAATGAACCATCGATAAGGAAATGTTGCAGTTTTCTCAAAAAATGCTTAAATTTAAGAAGTTTTAGATTTGCGTGGTTTTTTTTTGAGTTGCAAAATTCACTTGAACATGACGCTGCTTTTTTCGAGGTTTTTCAAGAACCCTTTGAGCCACATAATTCGTTTTGGCATCGTTGGATAGAGAATTGAATGGGGAGCCATGACCCCCCCCCTGGATCCGCCCTTGACTTTGGTCCTTTGGATGTTCATACTTACTGTCTCAACTCTTCAGCAGCCGCCGGACTATACCCCATTTCAAGGATTTCGATTCTTGCCTTTTGCTCCTCATTTTTCTTCTGCATGTCTACAATGATGGAATTTAGGAACGCCACCTGACTCTCGGCAAACATTTTCTCTTCGAGCAGCTGCGTATAATCGGGAGAACCATTAAGATTAACCTAATTGATCAGAGGAATCAAATCCATGCAACGAAAAGCCAGCACAAGCATAATGCCATTCTCTGCTTAATTAAAACATGCAATCAATAAAGAGATTACTTTTTGGCGGCACTGGCTTGATTTAAATAACGCGACGTCTTCAACATAGTTATTACGCGGTTTTGCAAATAAAAGCAATCTAAATTAGCGTCCATAACTGCGCTTACTACAAATTGCAAATAATCATGCAATTGTTGATCCCCAACCCCAGACCTACCTCGTTATTTTGAGACTCTCCATTAGCAACTGCACAAGACTGCATCTACAATGAACAAGCATTACCAGTAAATATTGACGATTAGCACTCATCCAAACCCACCTTTGTTACATTGGTAATTTTTTGTTCTCTTTGATGTTCTGTAGCCCTAGTTAACTCGTCACTTAGCTCGCGAATTTTCCTTTCTTTTTTATCCACTCTGCACGTTACTTCGGCTAGTTCTTGGCTTTTAGACCTCAGTTCTGATTCAAGAGTGATCCGACTGTTTTCTAGCATCTGTCTTCCAGACTCCAGTTCTTTGCTTTTGGCTTCCAAACGATCTCTATCTGATATTAGCTTTGCGATCTCCTGACTTTGATTCCTCACCGTTTCGTTATCGATTTGACTCTGGTGTTGAGCTTTTTCCATTTCAGATTTTGCGTTTGCCTCCAACTGGGCCAGCTTATCGCTGATCCGAATTATTTCTTGATCTTTTTCGCAATTTAATACCAAGAGCAGTTCATCCTTCTTAACCAGTTCCCTTTTCTGATTTTCAACGAGCTTGGCTATGGATCGCTCAAATTCATCCTTTTGTCCTAACAGCTGAGCTTCCAGCTGATGAGCCTCTTCGATTTTTATTTGGACTTCAACACTTTTTTTTTCCTGATCAACGGAAGAACTAGCAAACTGTTTCTGCAAATGATCGCATTCTAGTTGGCTGGATTTGAGGGCTTCCTGTAACGCATCGCGCTCCTTTTTCAGCTCCTGTTCCACATTGTGGAGCCTAGTTTTACGCTCACTCAGATTGTTGACATTGTCTTCCAATTCGAGTTTAGCGGCCTGCAAAGCTTGAATTTCTATTTTACTCGTATCGACTTCATCATTAAGCACATTTATAGTTTCCCTATCTGTCTCAATCTGCGTCTGTGCTTTTTCAAGATCCGATTTCAACTGGCCTATGGTGCTGTTTTGGGCCGCCATCGAGTTTTCCAAGTCGTATTTTAAAGCAGCAATTTCTTGAAAACTTCCAACGAGCTCCTGTACCTTTTCAGCGAGGCACTCGTCTTCTTTTGCTAGTTGAGAGTCCCGCTCTACAATGAGGCTCTGGACGCTCCTTTCCAGCTCTTCCGTGCGCTCCGACAACTCGTGTTTCAGACTCTGGATTTCATCGGTTTTTACCCTCATTGTATGCTCCATTGCTACAACCATTTTATCCTTTAAGTCTGAATAGTCTTTCCGCAATTGCTCGCATTCGGTCATCTTTGCCTTGAGGGCCACGTGCAATTCATCGCGTTCCTTTTTGAGTTTCTGCTCCACATCGCTCAAATTTGTTTGGTACTGGTTCAGGTCTTTGGTAGACGATTCCAAGTCGAGCCGTGTGGCTTGCAGTTCCATCTTTAAGGAATGAATGGCATCATTGCTGTTGTTCAGTTCGACTGAGACTCTGTTTAGATCTTCATTCTTCGTCTTGAGTTGTTCTTCCAAAGCTCCACAGGATAACTTTAGCTCTTCGTAGTGGAGACTCTTTTCGTCTAAACTAGACTTCAGCACATCGAGCTCTTCTTGTGTGTGACTGCTTGCAGAGATATTGCTTTGCAATTTCAAGGTTACTTCCTGAAGTTTTTGGCATTGCGAATCTAATTGGGATTGGAGCTTTGCTTGCATTTCTTTCAGGGTTTGATCAGAAGCGGCGTTGGCACTTTCAAGATCCTGCAATAACTGCTCTATTCTAGTGTCGCTTTCCTGCACTCTTTTAGTCAGCTGCTCGACTAGTTGACTTTGTGCAAGCAAGTCGCATTGAAGAGTCGTTTTTTCCGCAGTCAGCGCTTGTTTCATTTCCTTCATCTTATCTGCATGGGCTTTATTTAGTTCTTCGATGCGCAACTCAGCTTCAGTTTTCAGATTTTCAATTGTTTTATTCAGTGTATGAATTGATTCCGAACTGTCGTGCCGCAGCTGAGCAAGCTCTGCCTCTTTTTCATCCAGCTTCTTTCCGATTTCTTCCGTGTGCTTCAGCTCGACTTGCATATTTTGGATGACTTCTTCCATTTGACTTTTTCCTTCCAAGCGGGCCTGTGAAGCCGTAAGTTCGGTCTGGAGACCAGCCAGCAACCTTTCAGTGTTGCTCAGCTTATCGTTCAGCCCCTCAACGTCGGTAATTTTTGAGCTAAGATCCATTTTCAAACGGGTCGTCTCCTTTTGCAAGTTACTTTCTAGGTTCAAACAATCTGATTGCAGTTGTTCGATGGTTTTGTTTCGGTCATCAATGGCTTTGCTGGCTGCTTCCATCTCTAATTCCAGTGTTTCTACATGTTTAGATTTTCGCGCAAGCTGGTTTTGCAAGTCCAGGATTTTGGCGTTACTGGATTCAATTTGCTGTTTAAATGTTTGGTGCTGATTCTGGATCACTGAGATTTCCTGCTTCAGCACAGCGATAATTTCGGATTGTTCGTCATAATCGCATTTGCCTTGGTGCAATTCGTCTTGAAGGGATTTTATTAACACTGAAATATGCAGTGGTAAAAAATATCGTCCTGTGCTTTTCCATGTTTTCTTGAGAGATTATTGATTATACTTTGTGCCAGTTAATCAAATTAATTAAAATTTTCAACCTTACCTGCAGTCGTGGCTGAATTGCCTTCTATGGCTGCATTAAGGCTTCTAGACGTTTCTAATTCCTTCTTCAAGTTGTCCGCCTGTACGTTGGCTCGGATGAGGGCTTCCTCAGTTTCGAACAGTTTATTGACATCCGCTTCCAGATTTTGCACTCGCTCTCTTTCTGCAACCAACGCTTGTTGCAATTCTTCCACTCGGGAGACGTTGGTTCCATTTGAAACCTGCAGACCAAATATTTAACTGGCAATTGCTTAGCTGAATGCACTGACTTCATAAAAACATCACGGAAAGCCAAGCAAGGGGTTCAATAATAAAGAATCGCGTAAAAATCAAACCAAGTCAAGTTATAAAAAAAATGACAAAAAATCGATAAACACATGAAAATATGTAAAAACTATTTAGCCTGTCCAAATTTGGTACAGTGGTGCATGCCGTCTTTACAAAGCAAGGACAATGGCGTGTTTGGAATTACCAAAACACTTACTTTCAATGCAGATATTTCTCTCTACAATAAAATAATCAAGTTAAGGTCGAAGAAATGGGGGCAATTGAATTAAACAATTAATACTGACTTCCAGATCAGCTCTGGTAATTTCAGCTTCCTCAAACTTGAACTGCCAGTCTTCGTTCTTTTTTCTCTCGTCTTCTAACTGAGTGAGTAGTTCGTTTCTGCTTTCTTTCAGCTCGTTGAGTAGCACCAGATGTTCTTGAAGCTGAGATTCGCACTCAGCTCGGTACTGAAACAAAATATTATTTAGTTGGATTCTATCATTCATCTTCTAAAGCTACTTGTGGCGCGCTCACTTTAATATACTCTTGATTCAGTAGAGTGTACTTCTGTTCAGCCTCATCCGCTTGACTTGCGGCTCTGGTGATTTCTGCCCGTTCCAGATCTCGTTCCTTCAGCAGTTGTTCGATGTGTTGTTGTTTCTCTTTCAGAACCCCCTAGATAAAACCCGCCCTTTATTGTCAAACAAATAATCGAACGTGTCAATCAAGAATCACCACAGGCTGGACAGGCACAAATAGATCTTTGTGATTTTGTTTGGATTGAAGAAAATTTTGTAAAGTGTAGCGATTTAAAATGAATGACTAGTTGTCTTCTAGCTTCTTCAGCCTCAAACTAGATATAGGTAAACATAATATGTAAATAAGTTTATTGTTTATTATATTGTTGAAGCGGATTCATTTTTTTACAAACTTCTTGCCGGGTATTTCGCCTCAAAAATTCTTGTCTTTAAAAAAGACAGAATTTCATCACGTCTTCTATTACAGATTGATAAATAGTGATCCTATTTCGCAATAAAAAGGAATTATTTATCAAAAAGTGATCAAGAACTATCACCTAGAGGGTATCCTGCGACACATTTAGGCTCAAACTGTAAGAGAAAATTCCAATTAGTAAAGAAATTTATTTAAAAAATTTCCTTAACGTTTCGATAGCTATTTTCTGCTATCGTTATCAAAAGAACCTAAATGAAAATTGAATTCCCACGAACAAAACAAAATCAAAATAAACCTATTACGAACCTTTTCATTCCATTTATTTCAGGACTTTCAGATCAAATTAAACGAGTAGGTAAAAAATTTAATATTAGGACTATCTTCAAAGCTGAAAATACAAGTAAAAGTAAAATTTGAGTAACAAAACCTCATGACATAATTGAAAATACAAAAAATGTAATTTATAAAATTCCTTGCGAATGCAATAAATTTTATATAGGAGAAACCTCAAGACCATTACACAAAAGATTCAATTCTTTCTTTTTTAAAGACAAAAATTTTTGAGGCGAAATACCCAACAAAAAGTTTGTAAAAAAATAATATGTAAACCCATATTAGATGTAATTCTCTTCTCTCCCGCTTCTTCATACTTTTTGTTTTGTCTCATCTGAACGACAAAGACCAGACATTTTAGCAGATTGGATTATTTAGTTGGGACTTGGTTGATGACCTATTCTATTTACAATGAACCCAACATATTAATTACTTTTATTCCAAATAAAAACGTTATAAGGTAAATAAAACACATGGAATATGTAAATTTATTGTACAATCAGCAAGTAAATGGACTGATGATAGGATTCTTCAGGGATCAGTCAAAATTTAATCTATTTAGCTGCTGTGATGAATAAGTTAAGGTTTATTAATAAAATTTTAAATAAAATAATCTAAAACCTACATATAAAATTCAAATTTAATAGAATGTTAATTAGCAAAGTGCTGGAATGTTCGTTCCTACATTACATTATAGCACCTATAAAGTAGGTAACAGTAAAATGTGACAGTGATTGTCCGCCGCGTCGTAGACCAGTTGACGTGGCCGGAGGTTATCAAATGTCAAATGTCAAAAATGCACGACTTTACTTTTCTTTCCATTGCCTTAGTAAGATTTTCGAATTTTTGAAGGGCTCTAACCACAAGTTGTAGAAGAACTACACCTAAGTTTGACCCTAGAAATACTATTTATGCCGGTCCCTACTCCCAGCAAATTAAAAAATGAAAAGTATCTACTATTATGTTAAATAAAAACGCAATAAATCAAAATGGTGTTATATAGCTATCTACTAAAGCCTGTGGTGGTGTTGAATATTTACTGCCATATCAGTAGGTTGTTACCTGTAGCGCTGTTCGGGTCGGCATGGGCGTACCATTGAGATTCGATGTTAGTTTCTGACAAAACAATATTATTAGTATTCAATCAAACGTACAAACAATATTATTAGTATTCAATCAACGTGCAAGGAAACTATATTGTATACAGGGTAATACAAAATTGGCGTCATTCCTCTGGGGGTGTTGTCTGGCGGTGTTATAGGAATATAGAAAAACTAGTAAAATAAATTAATTGTCATTAAAAACTGAGAAATTTGGAAAAAACTAGATCAGAAATACGGCAGCAATGTTTTTCAAGGTAATCTGCCTAATTAACATTGCGCAAATACCTGTTGCTTCGTAATTATTTAAAACTCCGGTAACCATCGATAACCTGTGTAATCTCCTTATTATCCACTCTTATCAAGCAGCTTTGCATTTATCAGCAAGCAAAAATTGTAGAACAGAACTTTTTCAATATCGAAAATGTTCGTAATTTGAAGCAAAGATCGTAATTTTTGTTTTTGAATGCTTAAGTATTCCAATATGCTACCAATTAAACATGGAACAATTTCAAAATAATGCTTAATAGCAAAGTTGAAATTCAATCTTCAACTGTTAATATATTCTAGAAATTTTCGAAAAAAAAAATTTTCAATATTTTTCTCGTACTCCCCAAGTGAGCCTCCATCACCCCTTACAAGGAATGACCTGAGGAAAATTACCTAAATTGATTTAATGATATTTTGAATTTCCCATTATTTTTTCTGAAATATCGCAATATTTAATAGCATGACGTTGAGTTGTCAAACTGACCAACTACCGCAATATAATTTTCTTGATCCCCTGGTGGAAAGCACACAGCTTTCGACACTGTTTTCGATAGTGAAAGATCACTTTTACTCATTACAATGACAATGGGGGGTCATAATCCCCATGACCCCCCCCCTCCTGGATCCGCCCTTGCTTTTACGACATGCTTGCGCTACTATTAAATTAGATCTGATAAGCTTTACACACCATGCTGCGAGTACCTGGCTGGTTGGTGTTTGTAGTTCTTAAACTTAAATGAATTAACAAAATAATTTGATGCTGCCCAACACCAACCTACCTTGGGAGTTAATGAGGTAACGCCCAGTCTTACCCTTCGGGCGGCTGTGGATGCCGAGCTCATCAGCGACACACTGGATGACATCGATTCCTTCGAATTCGCCCGTTTCATTCCAGTTGGTGGCAGCCGCCCAGCCGACGGGTGCACTTGGCACTGCCCCGGTTTCACTTTAGACGGCGACTTGCTCACCTTGGACACTGGGGCGAAGAGCCCGAAGTCTGGCTGGCACTCGAAATACCTGGAGAATGGAATAACGTAACACTTTGAAGGCAGTTATTGAAATTCTACTTGCCTAATTCCGTTGACCGAGCCATCGTTCTTGCCTCGCGGCTCGTCCAGTTCCACACCAACCCACTCGCCGGTGGCAAACTCAGTGACTCCCATAAATCGCACTGTGCCCACCTTCGAGCCCTGGCCACTCTTAATTATCACCCGATCTCCCAGTTTATAATCTATATGGGCAGACGATAGACTTGTGTTTGAGCCAGCTGAAAATAACCGTCTGGATCCTCTTGGAGACACCGCATAGGCTACTCACATATGGACACTGGGGATTTTAAAACGCTTCGATGGGTCTCTGTAGGCGAGGGCGTGTGAGGACTCCGTCTGGCAGGTCCATTATTTGGCGACGTAAACGTGAATGTGTCTCCAGAGCCGCCATGATCTTGCGTTAGAGGTACTCGGGTGAGTCTGGTAAGTCGAGAAAAGACACCCTTCTTTGGTTCGCACATAAAGTATCTAATTCCGCCGACAGAGCCATCATTTTTTCCTGGAACATTCATGGACAACATCAACTGCAGGCTGGTTCAGGTCTAAGTTCTGTCCTACCAATCGGCTCGTCAAGAGCTATGCCTGCCCAATCTCCAGGGGCAAACTGGGTTTCTCCGATAAAAGCTATATGTCCGGGCTTGTTGCCTCCAACCCACACTCTTTGCCCTATTATAAAACTGTCGGTGTCTTCTGTTAGAATAGCACTAGAATCTAAATAGTAATACACCTGTTAGGTAAACACGTATTGACAGCCATGCAACATGTTTGTCTCTGCATTATTATACTGTTTCCCACCGATTACAGATAGCAGCTGTTCCCATATTATTGTTCTTCAGACCAACACCACTTGCCATACTTTAGACCATACAATGTGCAAGGAATAGACTCCCGAATGAAATGCACATGTTGTTAGCTAGATGATGAGTGTATTATGAACATGCTAAGAGATACTTGATCGATTAAATGCTGACAAAGTTTCGCCGTATCAGATTCAACAAAATCTAGTTTTTAAGCTTGCATATTAACTTAATACTTACGTATTAGTAAAATTAAGGCTAGTGAGTCTGGATTTATTATTAAAAAACAACAGTTGTAGGGAGATTGTAGGGTAATTAATGGCATATTAAATGTGCAAATGGTGGCTTAGGCAATAAGTAGGTACCTGAATGGCGACTAAGACCGGCCTCACTAAGTCGACGAGCGTGCAGTTCCCAAAGGGGATCCATAGAGGAAGCGGGACTGCCTAATGCGAAAGCGACACAAAAAGCAAAATAAAGACAAGGCGACCAAACAAAAGCAGCTGGGTGCTAATAATGATAAAAACATACAGGTGCGCATCTGCTTCAGAATCGAGAAGAAAGTATTCATCGTGGCTTGATAATCTCATTAATAGACTGAATGTTTTAAGAGGCAAATTTTTCCCAGATTAATTTCAAATGTTAATTAAAAATCAAATTAACAACACAATGATGCGGATATTTTATTTATCAAGTGTGGGCGTTAAACATGAGAATAGCTTACTGGATGACTGTCTTTTTCGATTCAGAATTCCGTTCCAGGGTCGGTTCAATTGATCTTCCTCGTAGTCTTCCTCCAAAACATCTATAAGGTGCGAAACGCCACATTTAGCACATTTAACGAGTGATAAATGTGAAGCATCCAATCATACCTGTTAACCTGTGTCGTCCAAATTCGTCAATCATTTTTTTAAGAGGGTCATCGGCGTCGTCTGTGCAAACAGGCTATTTAGATCCGTATCGAGCATGAGGTTACACGAATTTTTGGATAAACAGCTTTTTCAATCGATTCATTCATCACAAAAAAGTATTAGTGAGTATTAAAGAAAGCATACTTAATGCCTTTACAAAAAAATGGGCAAAACAAATCTAACGATGTAGGCAACATCTAGAGTTCGATGACGAACAAATTAACAGCTTCCCACATTTGTGCTACCTACAGATCATGTTTTTTTCTGTTGACACCTGTACCGATGAAGCCAGTTTTTCGGCTCTTGTAAGCAAAATGGTTATCCATAACGGAATTCCGAGCGGTTTTATTAAGGTCAGATTTGTTTACATTTGAAATAATGTTCTACGTCGAATCGAATACAATCCCTGATTCTAGAATTCTCTCAAATTGAGTAGGTTATACCTAGTTGCATGCAAGCGCATTCCAACGACTCAAAGCTAAATAGTAAATCTTAAAACAAAAAACTTGAGACAGAAACTAGCACACTAATCAAGTCCCAAAATTAACGTGTTCCAACCTTTCCAAACTGCTATTCGTAGTGTAACATGAATTACGAGGCATTTGACATTTGTTTCCGTGTGTAATCACTGCCCCATAAACACACCTTGAATATTTATTGTAGTCGGGATTGTTAAAACAACACGAACCTATTTTTGTAGTTATCTGAACAATAATCTTGGTAGGTTCTTGGAGTTGTACAATTATTTTTTCATCGAATGAAACTACACCTTCTAAAACCTTAAAAAACAACCAGCTTTATTTAAGCTTTAGATTCAATGTCGAGGTTTGATCTATCCGTTTGAAGATTAAGCGGATTTTGCGACAAATTTCCGCATTGCTAGAGGATTACGAGCGCACAAACTCTACGCGATTTGCTGCTTTAACTTAACAATTAATATTACAAGAACAGAATTTCATCCAACATCAACAATAATAATCTCTTAAGTTCAGCAAATAGTTCTGAAGGTAACTTTTCAAAGTGGAAAGAATGACTTTTGTATGTAAATACCTATCTTATTATTCCCATGGAGTCAACCGAATCGGCAATTATTTTCACGACTTGTAACTTGTGTAACTTTCCAAGGCTTCTTTCTATTGTTGCAAGCTACGTAACTTGAACAAACATATTGTTTTGATTTATTTGAACTAAGACAAGGTACTTTTTCTTTATCGGAAGTCGATGTTTAAATCGTACTTTTGCTACGCGTAAATATCTAGTATCATTAAAGAAGAATTCTTCAATCAGTGAAAAATAGACGATAACTGGTTGTATGCACAAAAGATATTACTTTTTACATTATGTATACACTGCTAAGTTACTTTATTAAATCCAATTTGCGATATAAACATACCCACAAACACGTCCGTCCTACGCACTTCATAAAACTTTATAGTTAGCAAATGTATAGAAAAAATGGTAATTTTCCTCAATCAGAATTATTGTTGTGTGCAGATGACATCACTTTTGAGCTATTTTAAAGCGATAAACAGGTTGAGAATCCGATGGACTTAATGAAAATCAAGGGCATTTAGTATTTGGGTATTTTTCTTGGACACTGCTCTACTTAATATCAATATTGCCACACTTTTAAATTCCTCTTAAAAATCAACATGGGTTGTGGGCATATTATCATGGTCGATCAGTGCTTACACCTGTTATAAATACGCTTTACGTTTGAAATTGCCGCCCATTAATGCACATGCAATTCTATTCGGTCGCTAAAAGAAATGACTCGTAAAAACATTTATGTTGAATGCTTTTTAAATAGCTTGAATTTCACTTAATAAACGTTTTGAATTTCTTCGACCCATCAAAATTTTAAAAAATTACACGCTCATCTCAAAAGCTGCTTAATCAAAAAAATAACAGAGCACGTTATAACCATGAAAAACTCACCCAGAAAACTCATGGTACTCGAAAAAAAACTACTGAAAATCCAAGAAAACTGAAAATCTGTGGAAGGCTAGAATTAAGTAAACAACACATCGAACACCTGCCGAGGAATGGTACTGTGACTTTACAGTACCGTAGACTGAGGTCGGAGCAGGAACAAACAATCAAATCAGCGTACACTGTGGACCACAAAAGCTAACTTTACCGGGCAAACCAAAGAAACTGCGGGTTTAACATCTGTCAAGTTAAAAAAATCTTCAAAATTTCAACTTTTCACGTAAATAACGATTCACGCGTTATTTAGAAAATAATCGGTTCCTTCATTTGCATATGTAGCGCAGCAATGAGAACAGCAGGATGTAGAAATAACCATCTAGAAAATTCGAAAACAACTTATTCGCTTTAATTAGGTATGCAGATGAAGCTTCTCCYACCATCAGATGATGTCATGTGGAAACTGCTCACATGGGTCAAATGAGCAAAGGCTCAAGTATTGAGCCTTTTAAAGAAAAGGCTCAATACTGAATAGGTATGTAGGAAAGTATTACCGAAAGACCACCTGGTGTAATGCATCGATTGCAACAATTGCAATTAAAACATTCGTMRATAATTGATTAGAAAACAAGAAAGAAACGTTCACAACATGAAAGATACGGAGAAGATATGTATGATAATTACAGTTATAGGATAAGTTTTTTCTTTAATATCTGGTTGTTTACCATCAGCTAGATGTTCACAAAATATTAAAATGGATGTTGCTGTAATTGGAGGAAACATAATAACACATCCTACTTACCTACGTCGAATACACTCTTGTATCACTTATGAACACTACGTGGTAAAAACAATTACCTTTATATTTATTTCCAGTTACCGCTGTTCGTCTTTGCAAGAAACTTTTATAAGCTAAATTCAGCGTTTGGAATGATCATAACAAGCAAACTTGTTTTTCAATACAATTCCAAAGCAATACGTAATGTGCAAGGATGATCCATAAACAGAGTGTATCAGTACTTACTGCTTTGAGTTGGGGAAACTGGTATGGGAGGTTTGTGTACATCCCCACAATATCGGCCGATTTTACTGCGCGGTCTAATGCCGCTTTTTGTTGTCGAGGCACTAGCTTTAGATGAGGCTACACTGGATAGAGATGAGGTACTTGCTCCCTGATCTCCAATGGTGAGGAGATTTGTGGGGTTTGAAGGAGTTGTAGTAGATGACGTTATGGTATTATCACTCATGTTTAAACGGCTGGCTGGCTGATCCTGTCGCTTGAGTCCCCCCAATTTGTAGTTTTGTCTATTCCTACCTTAAAGAACACTTCAAATTAAGCACTCTCAGTGAACATTTCCCTGGATGGTCCAAAAATTAAGCCGGAAAACACTCACAACCTTATGAAATTTGCTTCTCAAAAACCACTTATTTATGCACGAAAATGAGATGGTCCAGTGATATTTGCACTATGAACAATTCGGTGATTACAGTAATTTCAGTATTTACGAAATCCTGTTGATATTTTTAGATTTCTCAATTTATTGTGTTGGAAAACAAAACCTTAACAGCCTGACTAACATTGGCATGAACATAATACGAACACTTACCAATCTAATTCGAAAACAACAACTTATTCTTGATATCAACACTAGCAATATTATTTAATTAAACACAACACAAAACTAATATAACAGGTAACAGTAACCACTAATGACATTGAGGAATTAAACCTAAAAAAATAGTATGTAGTCTGTGGAATTAAACTAAAATCTCTGCTAAAGTGTCAAAATCCGCTGTGTGCAATTTGCACTCAACAAAACAGGCACGAAGTGTCCTTTTTTAGCGTTGCAGACGAAAAGAGATCAACCTGATCCCACSTGATACATTAGCGGGCTACGCGTAGCACACCATTCTATGAACTACGCATGAACCATCCTCGCAGCCCTGTCATCAAATCAAATCCTATCAACTGTGTAACAACCTTTATCATCAGTCATAGAGCATCAGTAGTTGTCTTCGYCTATGAGCATCAGTCTTTATCTATGGTAACAACTGCACGGCGTACTTTAGTTCTGGTAGACTGGTTGTCTTTTTATCAGAAATATACAAATAATGGCAATAAAAGTGAACTTATCAAGACCGTAACAAAAAGTAAAACCATTCCAATGGATCAGTCTATTTTAATTCATGATATTGAATCGAATGCTTTCCAAATAATAGAAAATGTTAAAAAATAAAAAAATGGTGTGCGTCACGGGACGCTCGACAGCATGACAGCAATAATAATTTTATTTTATAATTTTAATATTCTTGTTAGTGTAATAATTTATAAATGGATCAGGAATGGGTAAAATTTAATTTAATTTCCTTTTGAATGTAAAATATCTTTTTTATTTGCGACATTTAACATTCTTTAACCAGATGTTGTACATATACTTGAGTTTCTGTATTTTTTAGTCGTAATTTCTTATTTGCTTTGTATAATCTTTGACGTTCAGCAGTAGTTCGTGGTTGATGAAAGCTACTTTGAGTTCATCGATTACTTAATGCTCCTTTTTTAGCACGAAATCGTTTTTAGCGTTCAGCGTTCAGTTCTTGTTCTATGGTTCAGTTCAATAGTATGTAGCATAGAGTAAGTAAAATAAATACTTATTCTACTTTCTCTATGGTATGTAGTCTGTGTTTGAGACCATTTTGAGACATAGGTTTCAGACGAGTGGCTCATCGCAGAGGGGCAGCTAAACAAAGGACAAATCCAACGTTGCCATTTACCACGATTCGTCATTTGTAATCTAACCCCACTTTTATTCGTTGGCAGTTTAGACAAGGAAAKAACAAGCAATGAACTGTATACAAGTAATAAAAAAATATTGACTTTTTGTCTGCCACATTTATTCTGCATGTTTTTTGTTGCACTTAAAAACACACWCTTTAAACTTTGGATGCGACTTCAGCGGTGAGGAAAAGATTTTAAAACCATGAACGAATTATATGGATTTTGCCCAAAAATAAATTGTAGAGATAAGTAACTTGTGATAAATCTTAAATAATTTTATTTATGTCCACCGCAGTTGTGGACGAAACGTCAGGAAGAAATTCCGATAGACCACGGCTTCAAAGCCCGGAAAACATTCCTAAATGTAACAAATGGATAGTTTGAGAAAGGTTAGTTGAGTAATTTCTTAATTATTAATAAGCTTTAAAAAAAACGTTTTTTACAGAAAATAAATAAAATAGTTGTTTCTATAAATATTTAACTGAATAAATATCGCATCCTTGCAACCATTTTAAAATACTTTTATAAGAACATTTCGTACAATACATTTTTGTGTTTATTACGATCAGTGGCAGATACTGTAAATACCCCCCTGAGCATACTTTTAATTATTTTTGCGACGTTCCGTAAACTGTAGATTAAGTTTAATATGGTTTGCTTTGTTGTCTTTTTAAAATACTATTTATTGTTGTTTTTAAGTGCAATAAAAAACCTGCAAAATGAAGGTTGTGGTAGACAAAAAGTCAATATTTCTTTATTACTGCGCCCTCCCCTGAAGAAACTCTTAGATCCCCCGCTGATTACGATTAGTATCTGTTAAAAATGTTTTGAGTACCTAATAATTTTTTAAACGTTAATACATTCTGTTTTTTTAGACTTACATATTTTAAAGCGTGGAGGACTGAGCATACCTCTAGTTGTGTTAGTTATTTAATAAGCAATGCAATTTGTAAACCATATTCATTTTGTCGGCTGCGGAAGATGTTTTTAAGTTAAATTATGAATGTTATTGAGCTGAATATGTGCAACAGCTGCCCAATTATAATTGGACTCATAATGACAAAATGTTGATTATGTTAAAAAAAAAAATTATATTTTGCCAGTACTACTCACTTCTTTAGACTTGTTGGATTGTTATGTATACATTTCAATCGGGTTTATTATTATTTGACCTAACTATATGGAGTTCTCTTTCGACCTTCATAATTAATAAAAAATCATTTAACTTCATTAATCGTCTGCTGAAGTTTATCTAAAAGAATGTCAGCATGGTGCTCTTGGAAAGTCAACGATGGCCTCAATCGAATAGAATGGTCCCCGCAAGAACCAACAATAACTCCTGAAATCAAAGTCACATGATCTTCCATTAGGCAGACGATTATTGTTCGTGATGTTACTAACCCTTTAGCTTCAACTTGGCTACAATCTTGTCTCGTAGTTCCGTATCGGCAGCATTTACAGCTAAAAACGTTCCTCTGCCTCTCGTGGAATTTAGCAAATCTGGATGTTCTTTTTCAATGGTCGCAATTCCCAATTTTAACTTGCTGCCTGTTCGTAACACCTGGTCCAGTAAGTTCTGTTGTTTGATCACGTTCAGCACTGCTTCCAAAAGATACAATTTGCCGGGATCTCCAAGCCATGTGTTGAAAATCCTATAGGGCTGCTTTGGTCTACAAGAATTAAAATAAGTGGTTGAATCTGTCGTGCACAGTAAAACGTAAAACGCAACAGGAAATATGAACGACCTTCTTAAAACAATCTCCAATTAAAAAAAAGCCCCATAAGTCGTTAATCTCTTTATTCAGCATTATGTAAGTTACTTGTCATTATCGGGTGCTGGAATGGCTGCATTTAGTTTTCGTCTAAATGCCGTGTTAATACCGTAATCTTGCGGATCATCGTTGTACTGGCAAAAGTCGGTGAAAAAATCGAGATATTCAGCCTCACTAGAAGTCAGCTCTCTCGGAGGAGGTGCCAACTGGTGACGCTGTTTGTGAGGCGGCGAGCGCTTTTTAGGCACTTTACCTTCGTCTTTTTGAAAAGGTGGCGCAAAGGCCCGGTTCAGCTTGTGGGTGAGTTGCTCCAGCTCGGCGTATTGTTTCGCAGCCCTCTCCGCCAATCGCATCACCATCATTTGTTCTGCATAGCATCCGCTTTCCAATAAGGCCACTTGATCGGCCGGGACCTGCAGTATGTAGGTCCAATTATCATGTAGGCTTTGTGAAAAATCAAAATTAGTTCCTGGGTTTCAGTCATTTATTGTCTCTATTTATCAATTAAAATACGTTTCGGTGTATTTTTCCATAGAAATCAATATAAACAGTATTTTATTCGCTTTGTGTCCAAAATGGACAAAATTAATACTCCAAATGTATGCCAAGGCTTAAAGCAGCAACAATGCTACACATGTAAGTAAAAATATTTAAGTATCTGAACAAAGAATTCTAGTCTCTTCCCAAATTTGATTGTCCTGACTAATCACCTGTTAGGCCTAATTAATTTTAGAATGTTTTAAAGTATTGCAATTGTGATGTATTTTAATGTGTGATATGATGAGACTGTTGACGAATGTGTGAATTGTTTTTTAAATTAATTAATTTTTTGTAACTATCTGTTATTTTAGAAAAACTGATGATGGTGGAAAAATACACCGAAACGTATTTCAATTGATAAATAGAGGCAATAAAAACTGAAACCCGGGAATTAATTTTGATTTGGAATTGAAACACAGTCAGGAAAGTATATACTTATGAAAAATATGTAGTTTTCCTAAACTTGCCTTGTCCAGGGCCAGAAGTTCGTGTCGGTATCGCGCTTCAATAGACCGCATCATGTCTTCCATGCTGAGATTGGCGTCATTGGGTCCGATTCTGGTTTCATATACTTCTTCAACAAACACGTGCAAATTCAACACTTCGTCGTCCATTACCAGCTTCTTAAATTCGTTGCCTATCAACTTCAGGGCCAGGTCCTCCAGGTATTTGGCTCTTTCTTCTTCCCAACTGATACCTCCTTCGAGTTTATCGATACTGTCTCTCAAGCTGGTGATTTCGTCGTCAAACATTTCTGCGGCTCGCCTCATTCCCTCTCTGACCTGTTCCAACGGAAGGGCCAGCTCTTCAGAGTGTAGCAGCGAGTTGAGGTTCTGCATTTCCATGAATCGGAAAACGTCCAAAAGCTGTTCAGGATTAGTAAAATATAATTCGGGCGGTAGGCTCTCCTGGTACTCCTGATTGAACTTCAAAATCAGGTCATTTAAGGACACTTCTTTTTCAGCCACAGACAGGCGGTACTTTCCGAACAAATTTTCCTCTAAGTCTTCATTGCATTCATTTGGTGAGGTTGTGGCGGCTTTTGTCGCTCCTCGACGTTGATACCGCCAGTTGAACGGACTGACCAGGAATAAAAATTTCTCGTACATTTGACAGTTGCGCCACTTTTCTTCTGAGTTATACAGTGACGAGCGGACTGCGCCATATTTTTTTGCCACTGCTTTATATTCTTCATATTTGTCGTAAGCTCCCCTGGCAGCTTGCTCGGATTCCTTCAATAATTGCATAGATGATGTGTGGTCTCTATACAAGAATTCCTCGAAGGCGTTCACATACTGATTATAATTCTCTTTGATAGACTCTATGACCTTCTGCTCCAGTAGCAAGTTTTCCTCTATAAGCATTATGTCATCCTCCCGGTATCCGTTTACAATCTTAGTTCGCAATGTATCACGAACCACATCGATGTACTTTCTGATGTCCAGCCTATCTGGTATTGGTCTGCCTTCCACAACCTTGAAGTACTCTGGTGCAATGTCGAGAATCGACTTCATAGTCTGAATAGCGGGCTGTTCCACATAAAGGCGCTGTAGCAGATCCTTGCTCTGTCTGTCCTTGTGGCTGGGCTTTTCCGAACATTTCCCTATCAGCTCTTTCACCCGAATATTGTTTCTCCAGGCTTTAGTCATCACCTTGTGAGCAAACTCTTCCAGATCTTGGGGGTAGCAAAACGGTGGAGGCTCTTTATCCAGGTTTCTCATTTTGGACTTGGTTATTCCGTATCCTGCCGTAAAGTACCGTTTCTTTACTTCGGGGATTGTTTTCGTTTTCTCTCGAAGATGTTTGATCGGCGCAATATTTGTGCGTGAAATTCTCCATTTGGGTTCTAAGGAGCTTTTCGATGATGTAGCCGACTTAATCAAGAGTTGATCCGGCAGTGACGTCTGCGAGTCCTGTCTTTTGGTTGCGATGGTAGTTAGAGAATCCACCTTCTTTTGATCCATCTCTGTGGAGCGCGTTAAATGAAAAACGCGTATGTCACATTAACGGCAAATGTCATAAATGCCGCGATATCGACCAAATAAGTAGGTAGCTGTAGATACCTATTTCCTTGGATACCAAACGTAAACAGATTGGTAAACAACGTCGGCCGCCGACAAAAGGAAAAACCACTGCTTTGCTGTCGTGCTTTCGTCATAGTCAGTCATAGACTGATATGGCCAGGGTTGCCAGGTCCGAAAATCGAGTTTCGGTAGATAAGCTCGACACTTTTCGGTAGAAAAAAAAAGGGCTCCAAAAAATCGCGTGTTTTTTGACATGAGTCAGTTGGTGTCGATAAGGTAGGGGTTCTATTTACCTCATGTCGAGACTATGGAAAAAGCCTCCAGTTAGCATTTTCTTGCTGAAAGTCACAATGTCCGGCGGGCTCTCCAAATTGAAATGCTCATGGCACCACATTTTGCCAGTGGCGCCGACTCCCGTTTGAACTTCATCGATCAGCAAGCCGACACCGTGGCGCTTAGCTATTTGCTGAATACCCTGAAATTGCCAAGTCAATCTAATTCAAAGACATTAATCAATAGACCAAGCTAGTCATTCATAAAACCCGATTTGTTTGGGACCAACATTAAATAAATTCTACCGATCGGCGATTTATCAATGAAAAAATCACGAGGCCATGCATTCCATAATCTTATTGGTTTAGAAAGGTCACGTGACAGGCGTGACACTTATTTAATGAATTCCATAACCACATTCCAAAATGTAACAACCTTTTGAAATTTTTAAATAAAAAAAAATGATGTGCGTCACGGGACACTCGACAGAAGTGATAACTTCATAAATTAATAGAAACCATAAAATATTGAACTTGTTTAACGCATGACGGCAATAATAATTTTATTTTATAATTTTGATATTCTTGTTAGTCTAATAATTTATAAATGGATCAGGAATAGGTAAAATTTCATTTAATTTCCTTTTGAATGTAAAATATCTATTTCATTTGCAACATTTAACATTCTTTAACGAGATGTTGTACATATTGCTCTTCTTGGCTTTGTGTAAGCTCTTCTTCTTCTTGAGTTTCTGTATTTTTGGTCGTAATTTATTATTTGCTTTGTATGTATTATCTTTGGCGTCAGTTGATTAAAGCTACTTTGAGTTGATCTATTACTGACTGCTCATTTTTTGGCACAAAATCGTTTTTGGCGTTAAAGGCATTACTTAATACTTTTCGCTGCTTCAACTTGTATCTGGATAGAACTAAAAAATCAATTAATTTTGGTGATTTGAAGAGGTTCTATCTGTTTAAAATATACGGTAAAACGAGGAAGAGCTATAGAGACAGAATACACTTGACACACTATATGTATACATACATAGTGTAAGCCATCGCGCGTAGATTTAAAAAAAAAATTCTAACTGAACTAATCCAAGACTAAAAAAATTAAACTTAATTGAGAAGGTTTAATCATAAAGGAATCAAAGGGTATATGAAAGGAAAAAAAATTAATGCGTGGTAAACACAATTAATCATTGAAAATAAGCCCTAATAAATTCGTTTTACATATTTTGCAACTATAAGCTGAAGGGAGATTCGTATCGTCTTAAAATCAAGAATGCGTTGCGTGATAGAAAATAAGAAGACGGAACCCATGTTTTCTGAAATAACCGATGTAAACTCAAATATTTTTATATTATTATATAAATTCAAAACATATTTATTACATATTATTACAAAACAGTAATGATGTTACACAAATATATATCTAAATATTGATTATTTGTTGTCACAAAATAAAATAACAAATATTAGAACATATTATTGCATTAAAAGTTAATAATAATAGTTGTGACACTTTATTTGCACTTAATCTTGAGCGTTTTTCATAAATTGACCCTGTCTTCTTTAGAAAATATCCGCTCAACACTAAACAACTAGGTAGTAATATTTTACGCGATCAGAACTTTGAATCGTGCAATACAATGCAAATGGACATCATCTGGGCAGTATCTAGACTACAGACGGACAGTAAGACATAGGGAATTGGTACCGGGATTGTATCGATACGATTTAAAGTAATTTAATCTTTTCTTGATACGAATTTGCGTCCACAATCAATCAGGCGATTTAAAATAGGTTCAACAGTTTTTCAAAAACTTTATTGTAGTGGATCTTAGGCACAATTTTGTTGCACARCATGGATTGTTAGTTCTTAAAACAATATTTAACAGTAYACGGCAATGTGCAATCTCATTTGCAATGATAAATACCCGGTCGTTTGAAAATGATTTTCAAAAGTTTGTAATACATTTTTCTGCAAATTGATGGACGATCCGCATTTTTGCACTTAAACTGCTTTTGTGTGTATAATTGTGTGTGTACTTTAATTGGAAATTTAAAAGAAGGCGAAACTCGAACAGGTATTTAGTACATGAGCACCCTTAACGTAGTATTTGCAGTATCTGCAGCTTCTCCTTTGCTAATTTGTTGATTCATTGTTCAGCGTTATAAAATAAACTGCACCGAACACAATAATATCACACTCAATATGTGTATTTGAAAAGTTTATCAGATCTACAGATGCACCCGCACTAAGAGAAAAATGTCGAATTCAAAGTGCATTTGTGCGCGTCTCAAGCCTGAGGCGCGAAGTCTCGTCCTGACCGAGAAAAATCGGTTCACCCCCCCATAAAAAGTTATCACTTCAAAAACAATTTACGGTGCATACGCAGCGTTTCAAGCTGCATTCCACGAGCTAATGAAAAATGGGTAGTTCTATTTAAAAAAATATACTTCGATCTTGCCTCGCTTTTCTGAGACACTTTGTATCATACAAGATATTTTTATATAAAACTATTTTTTGCACTAAAAAACCACCCTGTATATGAGTGGCATCAACAAGATTGAATCGTAAGTACCTACTTTTGAATAGACTGTGAACCAATGTTGCTCCCATAGAAAAACTGAGATCTAATCGTAGTGAACCTTTTCAATTTTTCTTACTTACTTGGAAGAACCTAGGTGATGCCTCGTTGTCGCCCCCTTCAGACTGAATTGGTTCCACCACTATCCCCGCAACTGGATTCTCGTTTTTACCATATTGGACTATTAGATCTTCAACTTCTTCCAGGCATTTATCGTCTTCCGCGTGGTTTTCTCTTGTGTTGTCCTCCAAGGGATACTTATACCTGACGCAAAACCGGTAATCTAATTGGCCTTCATAGTTCCGTTATACAGATGAGTTGAGTTGAGCAGGTCTCACTCAACTCACTCCTATGTTACTTTTTTGATCATCCTACCTTGGAAAATGAGCAATAGGCCAATTAAAAGACGGTACATCTAGTTTGTGAATGGGCTTCGAATGTGTGGTGGCAAGTGTGGCCATCGTCCTGCCATGGAATGCTCCGTGAAAAGAAAGCAACGAGAGCTGAGGCGCCCCAGGAGGTCGATTAATCATACACGAGGAAGATTCCAGTTCGCTGAAACAAAATCCTTTTAGTTCAATTAGACGTACTTCTAACGAACGTTCCTCACGTAAAATCGACATTTTCACCTCTTTGTCGGTTTCTGTAACTAAAGAACAAAGCTTTGTAAGCGTTTTCATTGGAGCAGGAACCGCACATCATAGTCATAACTTGGGGCAAGCCGGGAGACACGTTTAGTAGTATACTACGTAGTTTTTCTGGCCAATCGTGGCCCGGGAAAACTCCCGTGGCGGGCCTGTTGATCAGTGCCCTCTGTAATAAGTAGCTACTACTGACTGAAACTATTACTGCCAGAAAGACTTGCGTACTAATTTGTGATCGTCTTGAAAGACTGTAAGTAAGTCCGGATGGTTGTAGCCAATGGGAACTGAGGAAATTTGAGTAAAAGCGTCTAAAAACACGTTGTTGTCCACATCAATTAAGTAGTTTCCTATTGATTTATCATAGTTGGCAAACAATTGCACTGATCCACTTTGCTAAAATTGCGTTCTTTTTATGTAGTAGGTTCAATACGGTAATCCACTTACATTAATAGAATTCAGTTTCTCAAAAAGTGCTTTAGACACTGGTCCTGGAACGTCTGTTAAGATTTTTGGTTCATTTGGTTCCCCAGGCACCAATGACGTTATTGGTCTTCGGGCCAATATAGTTTTAGTCCCTATAAGATTTTCTTCTCTATTTAATTTTAACCACTTTGTTAATGTTGAGTGATAAAATGTTGTTATTTTATTATTTTCTTTCCTGGGCTCCAGTCACAGTGTGAAACAATTTTTTGTACGTCGTTTATTTCGTTACGTTTCAGCGAGACAAACACCAATTTACAACTAAAATATGTTGTGCAAAAACTATAATTTCAACCTTCAATTTGTTTGAATTATTTTCTAATGTTTCCAAGACAGGAAAGACCTAATTGAGTATAATGTTTACCAATTATGAGGTAAGTTTTTCAAATGTTTTGCCCTCCCGAAAAGAAAGTTTATTTTTCCGCAAGAACTAATGAATATTTTAACACTTTATAAATTATACAACATAACGTTTTTCTACAACAGATTTTAATTGTAAATTGGTGTTTGTAGTAGACAATTTCGAAACCTTGGTCTATAGAAAATCTACTCATACTAACCGATATTTGAATTTCGACTCAAATCACCCGATAATGGTTAAAAAAAGTATCGTAAAAAGTCTATATGATAGAGCAAAAATAATTTGTAATCAATCTAATTTTTCCAAAGAAAAACAATTTATAAAAGAAATTCTAAATTTCAATAATTATCCAAATTCTTTTATTGAAAAATGATTTAACGAAACTGAATTCCCACGAAATTGAATTCTTGCGAATGCAATAAATTTTATATAGGAGAAACCTCAAGGCCATTACACAAAAGACTCAAAGAACACCAATCATACATAAAAAACAGAGAATATCATAAATCATACATTTGTCAACATGCATTTGATAATTGCCATAAAATTCAAT